TTAACTGCGGGGGCGCAGGGTCTCCCCATTACTCTGCTTGAACAGCTGATCTGACTGTGAGGTGAACTTGGTGTTTATATACAACACATCTCATCATTCTTTTCAGCTGTGTTTCCAGCCCTTGCAGTCTTTGGAATCTTAATTCTGTTCCCATGGAGAGGTGTTCTCTCAGACAAGCATCACAGGCAAATGTGTTAATGTGTCCCATGAGACTCCAGGCAGGTCCCCAGGGAGACTCAGGGCACCAGGCCAAGAGCAGCTGTCCTCTCCTGAGGTCTCCAGACTGAGGCTGACTTCCAGCTGTGCCCCTGAGGGCAGCATTCGAGTGAGTTCCGTCTCCTATCCTGCCACCCAGGAGTGTCTGTGTGCCTGCTTCGTGGGCGTTATCCACCTGCAAACGTCGCTCAGCCCGGGAAACCACTGCAGGGGCTGCCGTGTGGCATAGAAGGAGGGGCACACCTGTCCTCAAGGAATCCCCATCCCCACTGGGAGCGGAAATGAACGCCTGTGAGAAAACAGGCATACAAGGCCAAGTATGGTCAGTGTCTGGGAATGACACGAAGATCTCCAACACACGGATAGACCACCAAGCGGTTATTCATCTAACACACAGCAGTGTAGCCCTTCTGCTCCTCCGGGTGCCAGGCCTGGCTTGTGCTCCTGTCATTGCCTTTAAGCCTTACATCTACCCTGGGAGGTCCATGCTGTTGCCCTTGTTTGAGAGAGAAAACGGAGACTCAGGCAGTTTTAGGAACGTGCCAAAGGCCAGACATCTAGTGTGTAGTGTTGAGTCCCTTGGTTCCATCTCTGAAGCCCAGGACGCCCACTCATGGTCCTACCATTGGGGTGGACTTTGCCCATGAGAAGCAGGCCCGCTCTCAGGGCACAGCCTGAGGGCCGTACCGAGGGCAGACCCCAGGTGTGCCATCTCAGAGACAGTGGAAAAGGAGAGTGAGGCTGGCTTGGCAGGACTTCAGGCCGGGCGCTCATGCTTCAGAGGGGGGCCACCAACACCAGACCCAGTCAGGCAATGCTGGGCTCAGGAACCACAAGTACTGCCACATGCCCAGAGCTCAATGACTCCTCGGGCAGCACTGCAGCCCTCACACTTGGGGACCTTGGCTCTCCTGCCCCTGGGCCTGAGGAATTCCCTTCCACCGAATCCTTCTCACTTCCACTAGAACAGTGTGTCCCAAAATACCAAAACACCAACAACTGCTTCCCCTTCAGAACCAGAGACGTGGAGGCAGCCCTGTCGCATGTTTGGTTTGTTGCCTGAGGATTAGGGCCTGGTCCTCTTTCTGTCCTGAGAGCACACCCACTGGGGTCGGCCAGCAGTAGGTGAGGGAACCTTGCCCAGCAGTCATCTGGCAAACAGGCAGGTGCCAGTGAGACAAGACATCAGTCCCCATGTGGACGAGGACATGGCCACAAACAGTGACTGTCCACAAAATCAATGGGGAGAAAAGAACGGTGTGGTGGGGATGGTGGGGAGCAGGTTCAAGAGTGCAGGCTGGGAGCCAGGGAATCAGGAAGTGGAGCTGAAAGGCAGCGAGGTGAGGGGTCAAAGGCCTGGGGAATGAAAGGTCAGAGGTTGATGAGGAAAAATCTGGGCAAGAGAGCCAGGTGCAGGCAGATTTAGTGCCAGCGACCAGCGGGCACAGGCCAGGGGTGCAGGTGTAGCAGGCAGCTGGTGCCGGCAGCTGTGGAGAGGATGGGTGAGAAGATGATCTCCACAGTCCACAAGGAGCAAGCAGTCTGGAGACAGGGCTCCCTTCTCAGCAAACAGGCTGCCCGCAGCACGAGGCCAGGCCACTCCAGGCCGGTTCTATACCATTTGTCCACTATGCCTGCCAAACAAGCCCTTGGCAAAGAAATGGATCCAGGCAGAAGAGGACCACACAGTCTGCAGAGCAGAGTTCTCCTTTACTTCTTAAAGACCCATGGCCTGACTGCACCGATGGGAAGCACACTGAGGCCGCCGCCTGCATATATGCTGCACCACACTTCAAAGCACAGCTGTGTGTGGTGTTGGGGGGGCGGGGGGGGGCTCTTGTAATTCAGTCCTGTGAGGAGCCTGAGTCCAGACCCATTTCCTGAGCCCCAGGTTGATTTTCAGGGACAAACAGCGCTCTAAAATGTGCCATCTGCCTGATCAGCCTCCAAAAACAAAAGACAAGGCTCCCTCCTGGGTGCCAGTCTGGCTCAGGCACAAACTCTGAGAAGGACCCAAGCTCCAACCACTCTGATCAGAAACACCCAGTCCCCTCCCAGAGGAAGACAGTCAGCGAAACTGTGAGCCTTTGGATGCACCGGGTTCCACCCCAAGGCTATGTATGAGGCAGGAGTCACACTGGGCTTTTACCCCATTCCTCAGGTGCTTCCAGATATGACTGACAGAAAACCAGTGAAACAGTCTCAGTCTCAGGAAATGCCCACAGGGGCTTCTTGTCTTCAGTGGTGCTGGAAGCCAGGAGTCTGTCTCAGAGATCGCGGCCGGCCATGCTGGGGCTGTGTCTTGGCACCTGGGGTACTGGGATGGGGCCGGGCTCTGCACAGGCTGCAGCCCAGCCCAGGGAGGTGCAGCACAGGGAGGAGCAGGCCCCTGCCCAGGGCTGCCTCAGGCGTGCCTGCCTCTGCTTCTGGGAGGAGGGAGGTTGGGCTCAGAGCAGAGGTGGACCTGAGGGTGGAGGTATGGGCAATGAAGGGCCACAGGGATGGAAAGATGAAGGAGCCTCCCTCACATCCTGGAGGGAGTAGCATTTGAAAGGAAGGTCCCCAGTGGCTAGGGAGTCGGACACTGGGCAGACTGTCTTGGCCTTTGATGTGTCTGCAGGGACTGTTGGCAGAGAGCCCGGCTGCTTGGTTTCCCAGCCCTGGGCAGCGCTCTGCCTCCCTGCCCGCATCTGAGACCCTCCAGGGAAGGGGTTAGCTGACCAGCCTTACCCACCTTTGGCAGGGAGTGGCTGCCATGGCCTTGGGGTTCCCTACAAGATTTTCTCTGAACTTCTTTAATTGTAGTCTAAAGAAAAATGCGTAAACATTAACTGTGTACCATTTCACAGTTGCTCCCTCTGTGTAATCACTCCCAGGACCAACGTGTAAAACATCTCCGCACCTAGAAGCCTCCCTCCCACCTCTTCCCACCAGCCTTCCCCTACAGCCACCATGCTCTGACATCCGTGCCAGGATTCCCTCTGCCTGCTTCTGAACTTCCTTTAAAATCACACAGCACATGCTTTTCTGTGTGGCTTCTTCCGAAAGTGTGTCTGTGAGTCACCCATGCTTTCATGTGCAGTAATCTTTTGTTCCTTTTCACTGCTGGGTAGTGTTCCGTGGTGTGGACATACCACGCTTTATGTATCCATACCACTGTTGCTGGACATTTGAACTGTTTCTCGTTTGGGGCCAGCATAGTCAAGTTTCTATGGACATTCTTATATATGCCTTTGAGTACCATGTAAGCATCTGCCGGGGAAAGTCCCATGAGCTGAAATGTCTGGGAGCACGCTTCTCTAAGGCACCATGGTGGTATTTGGGTTTTTTCATCTTAAGCAGCAGGACGGAAAAGGAGACCCCCCTGGGAACTAAAGAAAATGCACAAATAGAAGCTTACATGGTATGAAGAAAATTATGGATCTTACAGGTGTACTATAGAAGAGTGTGTGTGTGTGTGTGTGTGTGTGTGTGTGTGCGCGCGCGCGCGCGCGCATGTTTGTGTGTACTTACTGTTACTGCTGTAGGAGGATCTTAGAATGTCCTAGTCCAGTGATGGTGAAACTATGACACGCATGTCAGAGGTGACATGCGAACTCATTTTTTTGGTTGATTTTTCTTTGTTAAATGGCATTTAAATGTATAAAATAAATATCAAAAATATGTCTTTGTTTTACTATGGTTGCAAATATCAAAAAATTTCTATATGTGACATGGCACCAGAGTTAAGTTAGGGTTTTTCAAAATGCTGACACGCCGAGCTCAAAAGGTTTGTCATCCCTGTCCTAGTCAGCTTTTCCAAAATAAATTTGAGAGGACCACAAAATTTAAGGAAGGGAGAGGAAATGACTAGAGATAAGGCTGGAAAAAGAGATCAGGGTCGAGCTGCAAAGGGCCTTGAATGCCCTTTAACAAACACCTACTGGCACCTACACACCACTAGGTAGGTGTGGCAAACCAGCCTCGTCACCTACGAAGCTGAGTGAACTGCAGTTAGTGGGGGGCAGGGGAGTGAAGGGCTCAGTTAGAGCAAACAACCTGTGTCCAAGTCCTAGGTCTGCCTCTCATCAGGGATGACTCCAGTAGTCACAGGATGACGTGCATGCTCAGCCATGAACAGCACATGGACATACACTGACAAATGGCACACTCACGGGCAAATGCTCCTACATATACTAGTACACAGCAGTGAGCAGAGGGTCAGAAGCCATGCATACAAGATGCTCCCTTCTCAGCAGCAGCCCAAACTTACTAGAAACCTAGGGTTTCATAGTAACAGAAAAGAGAGGAAATTAATAGGTCTCCAATTAGCCTCAAATCATCTTTGCTTTAGGGACTTGCAGTTGGATGAACTTGCCGAATAATCCAGAGTCCCAAGAAGACATTGCAAATAGTCTGGCGACGTTTCCCTCAGCTCGGTATGAGCTCTGGGGTTGGGAAGACAAGAGCAACAGTACTTAAGAGAGTCTCAGAAAAATGGGTGCCAGGCACAGGTTTCCCATGAACACTGGGAAAGGTCCACAGGGGAGCCCTCCTTTGTGCCCAGAGTGAGATGATTCGAGCCAAGCCTGGGAGAGACCACTCAAACCTGACCAAAGCAATTCTTATAGCACTGACATCGTGAATGAAAACCCTATTTGATCTTAGATCATTGTGGAGTAGCCTCTTTCTCTCGTAGAAAAGGGGGCTCCACAGTCATGTTACACCTGGTCTGGTGAAATAAACAACATGGGGGGAGGGGTGTGGAGGGGAGAGGAAGCGAGCCTGAGAGAGCTTGGCCTTACCTCCACGTACAGGAGGGGGAAAATTCCAATCTTGTCTCCCAGCATTCCCTCTGCCCAGTTGTCATCCACTCTTCTGATCACAGTCAGGATTTCATCCTGGAATTGCCAGAGCCCACCATGTGTACAACCACATGGACATCCACACAACAAAAGAGAAAACAAGAGATCTGTTAGCACTGTTGAAGCCCAGAAAAGACTTCAAGCAATGATTCAAAGAACGGTTTATTATCCATTCTGAAATATGACATGTGAAAAGTCACCCCTTACATTTTCACCCGGGATAGCTCTCTTTTTTATGTAGTGATTACAGCTGCAAAGATTCTCAAATGTTTTCCATTTATAATATGCAGTCATGATTTCACTTAAATGTGGAAACTAAAGAACAATATAAAAGAACAAAACAAAATAGGTTCAGAAAGCAGACTAATATTAATTGTTGTATGGGGAGGCGGGGGGCTTGCACTGGGTTAAAAAAGCAAAGTTTATTAAGAAGCACAAATTGGTAGTTACAAAATAGTCATGGGGTTGCAAAATACAGCACAAGGAATATAGTCAATAATCTATAATAATAAAAGCATAATATGCTAATTAGACCAGACGTCCTTCCGGATGTGCTTCCTTCCAGACAAAGCCGTGGCTGGCGGGGGCCGAGGCAGAAGCAGCTGCAGTGGTGGTGGGGGTCAAGGTCCTTGCAAGAATTTCATGCATCGGGCCTCTAGTATTGTAATAATAATGTAATAATTATGTATGGTTAAGATGGGTACTGGAAATATTGGGGGGGGGGCACTATGCTGTATACCTGGAACTAATACAAAATAATATGGAATGTAAAATATAATTGAAAAATAGCAAAAAGAACTCATATAACACCACCACAACAAAAGCAATGTCATTAAAGAAGGCCTGGGGAGGGGAAGGGAGGAGGGGAAGAGGGGGTTAAGGGGGGGGGAAGAGGGACATCTGTAATACTTTCAACAATAAAGATAAATTTTAAAAAAATGGGCAGAGGACCTGAATAGATACATTTCCAAAGAAGTCATAGTGATGGCCAACAAATATCTGGGGGGTGGGGGAATGCTCAACATCACTAGCTATAAGGGAGATGTAAATCAATACCACAATGAGACCCCACCTCACACGTGTCAGAATGGCTATTATCAATAAAACAAAAAAATAAGTGATGGTGAGGATGTGGAGAAAAAGGAACCCTTGTACACTGGTGGTGGGAATGTAAATTTGTACAGCTGCTATGAAAAACAATATGGATGTTTCTCAAAAAATTAAGAATAGAGCTACCATGTGACCCAGCAATTCTGGTTCTGGGTATCTACCCCAAAATTTTGAGAACACTTATTTGTAAATATATACATATTCTATGTTCATTGCAGCATTATTCACAATAGCTAAGACATAGAAATAACCCAGTGTCCTTTGATATATGATTGGATTAGGCAGTGGTACATATATACAATGGAATACTACTCAGCCATAAAAAATGAAATATTGTCATTTGTAACAACATGGATGGATGGATCTTGAGAGTACTATGCTAAGTAAAGTAATTCAGATAGAAAAATACAAAATTCTTAATATTTCACTCATATGTGGGCTAGTATACAAAAAGCAACAAATGAACAAGAACAAAAACCCCTCATAGATACAGACAACAGAATTATGGTAACCAAAGGAAAAGGGGGTAAGGGAAGGACAAAAGAGGCAAAAGGGGTTAAATACAAAGTGACAGAAGGAGACAAGTACACAGGTAGTGAGTACACAATAGAGTGTACAGAGGTTGTGCTATTTTGTTGTACACCTAAAATTTATATAATGTTATTAACAAATGTTACCCTCAAGAAGTTTAATTTAAAAAATAAGAGAACCTGAAAGAACCAATTAAAAACTTATGGTACTAATGACAAACTATAGCAAGATTTCAGATAGAAGATCCTATATAATAAAAGGCTAATATGCAAAGTGTCCCCTCAGGAGTTCGACTGACTATGAGTTTGACTGCTCCCTATGACATGCACTGACCACCAGGGGGCAGTGCAGAACGAAGGAAAGCTCAGGCCAGCAGCTGAAATGCCCTAATTGGCCCTGATCGCCAGCCAGACCTAGGGACCCTACCTGTGCATGAATTTCGTGCACTGGGCCTCTAGTTAATATATAAACATTAAACACTTTTCTATATACATGCATGCCTTGGAGATACTATGGGTTCAGATCCAGGCCACTGCAAAAAAGCAAGTCATAATCTTGTTGGTGGAGGGTTTTGCCTTCCAATCGGTGCAAAATGCAATATTTGCAAAGCGCAACAAAGTGAAGTACAATAAAATGAACAAGTGGAATTTGACATTAAAATCACAATAATGTTTACATTAGCATCTAAAAATAAAATATTTAGGTATAAATCTAACAAAATAAGTACAAATAGCTATATGAGAAAAACTACAAAACTCTGATAAATGAAATCAAAGAAGAAAAAATAGAGAGATGTATATTTTCATGGCTTGAAAGCTTCAATATTGTCATAATATCAGTTTTTCTCAACTTCTACATTCAGTGCAATCCCAATCAAAATCTCAAGAAGTTATTTTATGGCAATTAACAAATTAATTATAAAGTTTATATGGAGAGGCCAAAGACCCAGAATAGTCAACATAATATTGAAAGAGAAGAACAAGTATAATACTATTTGACTTCAAGACTAAAGCTACAGTACTAAAGACAGTGTGCTATTGGTGATAGAACATAAAAATAGATCTAATAGATCAATGAAACATAACATAGCATCTAGAAATAGACCCACATAAATATAATCAACTGATCTTTGACACAGGAGCAAGGACAATATAATGGCGAAAAGACCGTTTTTTCAACAAATGTTGAAACAATTAGACATCCACAGGCAAAAAAAAAAAATGATCTAGACCAAGACTTTATAGCCTTCAGAAAAATTAATGCAAAATGGATCACAAACTAAATGTAAAACACAGAACTATAAAACCCTTACAAACTAGCAGAGAAGACCCGAGCCTTGGGTGTGGTGGTGGCTTTTGAACACAACACCAAGGGTCGGTCTATGAAAGAAAGAACTGATAAGCTGGGCTTCATTAAAATTAAAATTTTTGGTTCTGCAAAAGATACTGTCAAGAAAATAAAAAGACAAGCCACGGACTCATGTAAATATTTGCAAAAGACATATCTGATAAAGAACTGTTATCCAAAATACACAAAGAACTTTGAAAAGTCAATAATAAGAAAACATACAATCCAACTTCAAAATGGGCCTATGATCTTAACAAGCACCTCACTAAAGAAGACATGTAGATGGCAAATAAGCACATGAGAAGGTGCTCCACATCCTGTCATCAGGGAAATGCAAATTAAAACCATGAGATATGACTTAGACACCCATTAGAACAGCCAACAGCAACAAATGCTGGTGAGGATGTGAGGCCACAGGAGCTTTCAGCCATTGCTGGTGGGGACGGAAAATGGTGCAGCAACTTTGGAAGACAGTTTGGTAGTTTCTTGCAACACTAAACATACTCTGACACTATAATCCAGCAATCACATTTTTTGGCAATGACCCAAAGAATCTGAAAACTTATGTCCACACAAAAGCCTGCTCATGGATATTTATAGCAGTTTTATTTATAATCACTAAAACTTGGAAGCAATCAAAATTTCCTTCAGCAGGGGAGAGGATAAATAAGCTGTGGTAAATCCAGACAATAGAATATTATCCAGTGCTAAAAAGAAATGAGCTAACAAGCCATAAAAAGATATGATAGAAACTTAAATGCATATTAAGTGGAAGAAGGCAATCTGAATATGCCACATACTACATCTAATATATGACATTGTGGAAAAGGCAAGACAATGGAGACAGTAAAATGATCAATGGTTTCAGGGGCTGGAGAGGGAGGGGTGAATCAGCGGAGCACAGCAGTGACCGCGCTCTGGATGATACTGTCAAGCTGAGCACATGTTTTTATACATGAACCCACAGAATGCACAACACCAAGTGAAGCCTCATGTAAACCCTGGACCCTGGGTGACAGGATGTGTCACTGTAGCTTCATCAGTTGTAACCAACACACCTCTCTGGTGGGGATGCTGGTCATGGGAGGCTGTGCGTGTGGAGGCAAGGAGGCACATGGGAATCTCTGTACCTTCTGCTCAATCCAGGCATGAACCTAAAACTGCTCTATAAATAAAGTCTATTTAAAAACCAGCTAATAGCCCTGACTGGTGTGGCTCAGTAGATAGAGCGTCGGCCTGCAGACTGAAGGGTCCCAGGTTCGATTCCGGGCAAGGGCATGTACCTTGGTTGTGGGCACATCCCCAGTAGGGTGTGTGCAAGAGGCAGCTGATAGATGTTTCTTTCTCATCGATGTTTCTAACTCTCTATCCCTCTCCCTTCCTCTCTGTAAAAAATCAATAAAATATATTTTTTTAAAAACCCAGCTAATAGTACCAGAAAGTGATAAAAATGGACAACTAAAGACCCTACAACAATATAGGTGTAGCTCATAAACATGATGTTGAGAGAAAACAGAGCTGGACACAAAAATATGTTCTGCATGATTCGTTTATTTGAAGTTCAAAAGTAGACACAAGTCTTCTATGGTGTTAGAAGATATGGGAGAAGAGGGTGGAGGCACAGGGCCCTGGCGCCCACATTGCTCCACTGGGTAGTGATTATAAGGATATATTCTTTCCAATCATCAGGGGCATAATTTCGATTGGTTAACTTGTGAGTATATTGTGCTATACCTAGATAAAGGGTTTTTTCTAAAATAAAAGGTGATAGTGTGGATAAGTCGTGGCACAACTTGAATACTGCATTGGTTCTAACACATCAAGGGGACATCATCACATTCTGAGGAAGCCAGTCAATATGTGAACAATCTGAAATTAAGTCACAGAAGCAAGAGAAGTGGCATCGCCGAGCCTGAGAATGAGAAGGCTGGGTGGGGCATGGCTACTGTCTCTGAGCTGTGGCATCACAGCCACACTGAAGAGCTGGGCTCATTCTGGGTCACTCAGAGGGTGGAATTAGCTCCCCCTTATGTGGGATTGGCACATAA